TCATTACCCAAAGTTGGCTTATTTCGAAAACCTTCTATTTCTCAACAGCAAACCCATCCAATCTAAAATTCAATTACACTATCGTTTTTCCCGCTTCAAATTGGTATAGGAACATGCTGCTTTCAAAGTGGTAGCATCAGTTTTCATGGTGTTATTCAACAAAAACATGTTTTTGCCACTGTAAACTCCAATTTGAGGGTGGAAAAAAACGATTTTTACAAAGCACCGTAGATGTCCCAACGAGGTCTCATTTTATAGAGCAAACAAAGAGGAACAAAATTTAATTAATGGAGAAGCCATGTTGAGTTGACAGTTGATCAAGAAATAGCGTCCAAACACTGTTCATTTATATTATATTGGCTACTTTACACTTTCCTCGCTTAATTTTTTGACAATCAATGTAGCGACTGAAAATCCGTCCATCATATGTATAGCAACCCCTCCAAGAGGATATATAATAATAATCCTAATATAAAGGTTTTAGCATTAACATAGAGCTTGGAATAGCTGTTCCACCTTTTTCGTAAAATGCGCAGCACAGCTTTAAATTTTTGCCATTCTACAACGAAGCAAGTTATCACTAAGCGGTTTTGAGTACAGCATTTTTCAGCATCTGACCCATCAATCTATTACGCGTAATCATTCTTAATCAGCAGGTTTTTATATGAAACTCATTACCCAAAGTTGGCTTATTTCGAAAACCTTCTATTTCTCAACAGCAAACCCATCCAATCTAAAATTCAATTACACTATCGTTTTTCCCGCTTCAAATTGGTATAGGAACATGCTGCTTTCAAAGTGGTAGCATCAGTTTTCATGGTGTTATTCAACAAAAACATGTTTTTGCCACTGTAAACTCCAATTTGAGGGTGGAAAAAAACGATTTTTACAAAGCACCGTAGATGTCCCAACGAGGTCTCATTTTATAGAGCAAACAAAGAGGAACAAAATTTAATTAATGGAGAAGCCATGTTGAGTTGACAGTTGATCAAGAAATAGCGTCCAAACACTGTTCATTTATATTATATTGGCTACTTTACACTTTCCTCGCTTAATTTTTTGACAATCAATGTAGCGACTGAAAATCCGTCCATCATATGTATAGCAACCCCTCCAAGAGGATATATAATAATAATCCTAATATAAAGGTTTTAGCATTAACATAGAGCTTGGAATAGCTGTTCCACCTTTTTCGTAAAATGCGCAGCACAGCTTTAAATTTTTGCCATTCTACAACGAAGCAAGTTATCACTAAGCGGTTTTGAGTACAGCATTTTTCAGCATCTGACCCATCAATCTATTACGCGTAATCATTCTTAATCAGCAGGTTTTTATATGAAACTCATTACCCAAAGTTGGCTTATTTCGAAAACCTTCTATTTCTCAACAGCAAACCCATCCAATCTAAAATTCAATTACACTATCGTTTTTCCCGCTTCAAATTGGTATAGGAACATGCTGCTTTCAAAGCGAATTTCAATTCGAAATTCAAAGAGAAATCAAAAGAGAAAGAAAAAGCCGAATAGAGAAAGGCCGCGCTCCACGATTCCAAGGTATACCCTAGCCATCTAGCGATTACAAGTCCACTTGTCAGCAAAAGTCATGTTGGACTGTCTTGAAGGTACAATTGGGATGACTAAAAATTGAAATGCGAACAATTGACAGCTTAAAAAATTAGGTACAAGTTGGGATTGAACCCTATATTGACGATATCGTGCACCAGTCTGCAATGTAGTTGACGTTTAGCGAAGTGAAGTTTTCAAGTCCAAGATCCCAGGCGTAAGCGATACTTGGCCGTTTCTGTTAGTTTATCAATGACCCTTGGTGTGTCTTGCTCTTCGTAACGAATCAGCTCCATTCTCATTCTTTGAATTTCCATCTATATGATGACTCCTTTTATCATCAGAGGGCTTGAATCTGGATAAAGGGCCGGTATATTTTCCTCATTATTATTTCTTCAAGTACGTATCATGCCGAATGACGTACTCGTTGCTAATGGATATTTCTTATGCTCCAGTAATACACGTACGTTAATGTTTTCGTATGAAAAAATGGCATATATAGAATGCATTTCAGTGGCTTTTACACCAGACCTTATCACTTCTACAGACTAACATAAATAGGCGAAACCGTCAATATGAAAACTAAAGATATATTTGTTAAGCACAAAGAATAAAAGGATTATTATTTGTAGCTTATAAAAAATGTTCGATATTATAAAAACAAGAAAAGACTTATTTGAATAAGATCAGACACAAAAACTAAAGATTTATTGATGAAGACAAGAGTTATTCTATTTATACTAAGTTCTGAATGCCAAAGTAGCAATTTATCTTGTACAACGCTTATCACATCTGGTGAACCTCAGTATTTAGATAGCTGAGATGCACTTCACTTATCATAGCTTGTCCATGTTGTTGCACAACACAGACATATCTACCCATCAAGAATACCTTAATCTTTATAGACAGTTGTAGCCCTTCTGGCACAACAATATTAATTGATTCTGTAATGAAATAGCCACCCAAACGCAGCTTAATTGAAAACCAAAGTTCATCAAATAGCACTCATTCAAATTCATGCTATTTGGATCTATTAATGAAAGCGCTCAAATGTACATCAAAAAACCATTTAAAAATACTAAAGTAAAGATGCACGCTTATCTCGCACATCGTGTGAATGAATCACTCCTGATCACAGTGTATTCAATCACACCCATGATGGTCGTAATAAGTGATGGTATCTTTATCCAAATAGAATCAAATCAATAACAAGCATATTCAAATATGACAACTATGCCCTGCTGCCATAGTTGCACAATATCCCAGATAAAGGATTCCATACTTCAATAACAAACATCACACTTTAAACCATCAAGGTTACATTAAATCATGCTATGACGATAGCTCACCCAAGCCCATCAAGGTTACTCAAATCGACCCTTATGGCCAGTGCTCCTGCATTGATTACCACTTTAAATCAAACATCAACAACATTTGCCAGATATCGCAATAGCAGCACTTATTGCTCTCTATCATCACTAATCCTATAAGCTAGGTGCAAATGTATAAATACCCTTCTTTTTTTCACTCAATTCCAGGATCTTCAGTTCATTTGATACACAAATAAAATACAGTTGATTTCTATTGTATTTTACTATTGCTTTATTTTTTTTTTTTTGTGAAATCTATTTAAACCTGATTTCACTGCAGATTCAAGCAAATCTTATTTATACGAAATCTTTACCGCTAGATCAATCAACCTATGTTACTGTTAAATGAGTTAATACATCGAGTTCTGTATATTCTATATCAGTCATTATGAAGGATGCGATTGACAACTCAACTACAATGATGTGATTTACTACGCATCATCGTTATTGACGATCACAGACTTTCATAACCAACTATGTACGGCTCGCTTCTTGTTGAGTATTGCGTCCCAACATAGACAGTGAGTAGCAATGTAAATCATGATCCGACTACCGCTGATTTCCTGACCTCCCGCAGCCCTACAGAATTGACACCTTTTATTACTTGAATTCATGCAACACACACCAAAAACTGGGTGTGCTTGAACGATAATTTTTTGCATTAGAAGCTGTTTTAAACTGCCAGGATAGTACCATACAATTGTTCTCATCTAGCATTAACTTACTGATACCTTTGCTCATTTTTTTTCGGGACAAAAAAATTTTCATCAAAGATCGACCTCAAACAATGAGGGGGGTACCTCATGATTTTCATTGAAAATCAGACGATTGCGTTTTTCACCTCAAAAATGAAGACTTTTACTATGATATTTATTGAATCAAATTGTTCCTCTCGATTCAAAGTAGCTCCTGAAAACTTGTTTATAAGTCCTTCATATGCAAAATATCGATATTTCGGTCAAAAACCTCATTTCATGTTTTACAACTTTACTCAAAAATCTTTACCTAAACATGTATCATAACTAACACCATTGGATGCGCCTTGAAAAGTACTTCAGGAAAGCTTAAGGAAGCATTTTTTTTTTGTAGGGGAGTCGAGCTCCAGGTTTTATTTAAAGTCCTTAAGATGTCATACTGAGTGATAGAAAAGACTGTTGTTGGACCCAATGTCTGCAATGATGGGGAATAAGATATATAATGAACTAAGTTGGGAAAGAAATCTACTATTAATCAGGTGCGACACCTAGAGCCAATACAATCATGCGAATCGTCAAAATATGGGTACTGGATAAGAGCACAAAACACCAAACGAGGACATCAGTACTACGTCAAAATAATCACCAAAAACGCATTCACTGAGATTTGAACCGGGATCATCCAGATGGCATGTTGGATGCTTAACCACTTCGCCCCACCACCACGGACTGTATTAGGAAGTATGTGATAATCATCGTAATTTATATAATCGAACCTCACAAAATAGATGAATCAAGTCGATTTTAATCGAAATTTGGCAATCCGGAGCAGAGATGTTCCGAAGCTTAAACTCGTTTTGGCGACTGACTGGCCAAACCTATTTGGTTGATAACATCAATGCTTGTCTGATTATGGAGGCAATCGATGTGTGTAAAGCGCATAAGAAGAATATTGCGCATCAAAATAGTACAATAGCTTAGTATAAATACTATTGTTTGACTTTGCTGTGTATTCTTTGTATCAGGTAAATGCAGTCGTTGCAAAATGGTTCTTCAAATACGTGTCTGAATGCTAAATAAAGAGGGACCCATCCTATTACTTCAAAAAGGCCCTACTTATCAAGATATACTTTGTTCTTTGAACGGGTTCGTAATATAAAAACATCCCCTGATGTTTTTTCTTTCCTGACATTTGGAGCTTACATTTAAGACCTCATGGACGTCTTAAAATATGCTATTTTGATCAAACTTTACTTGCCATCAAGAAGGGCATTTCAAGCTCCCATGTGTATGTGCTACACAGACATTCAGATTGAAGTATTATGACACTTGATTTTTATTACTACATATTTTTAATGCACATTAAGTATTCATTAGTTGGTATCATTGACTTTGAGAGCATCCACAACAGTATTCTCTGAGATAAAATCCTCCTTCTCTACATCCTTCTCAAAAGATTTTTTCCCTTCTACCTGTTCTACTCTGGATTCAGCATTGACAACGGGCACCTTTTGTTCAGAAACAGCAATCTTCAAATAGATGGAGCGACCCTCCAACACAACGTCCTTTACAGTTTCAAGTGCCTTTAACTGCTCTTGTTCACTCTCCAATTCCACAAATCCATAACCCTTTGAACATCCATTATTCATGCGAGCTACATGAGCAGAAACCAGCTTGTAATCCTTGAAAATTTCATTCAAATCATCATCTGTAGTAACGTAGGGCAGATTGGCGACAAACAGGGTGGTTTTGGATGGCTCAGTAACACGAGCCGCCTTTTCAGCAGACTTCTTCTTCTTATTTTGACGTTTCTTGTCCTTTTGGTTACGTTTGCGACGTGCTGCTGCCTCTGTGGCAATCTGCTCTGGCGTCTTTTCTTGATGTTGTCTCTCGGCGGTTTCTGTGTCAGCAGCAACCTCATCCTCCCTGGGTTCTTGCTTTACAGGCATTTCCTTTTTCACCTTCACTTTCTTTTCACCAGCAGGATCCTCCTTTTTAGTGGTAGGGACAAGGCCATCTTCCTCTTGCTTTTGGACTGGCACAACACTGTCCTCCTCTTTGATTGATGATGATGAAGCTAATGCAGACTTACTACGACGACGAGCGTTGCTCTTTGATTTACGGGTCTTCTGTGGTGTATCAGCAGGAGTATCCGTCTTGGGGCGAGCTACTTCCACGTTAATCTCACGGCCATCCAGTGATTTACTATTGAGATCCTCTGCTGCCTTTTGAGCATCCTGTTCTGTTTCAAATCTGACAAATCCATAACCCAGAGAACGACGTTGCTTTGTGATGATGGTTGCATCCACACTGCCAGAATCAGTGGTTTAAGTCATAGTATATTGGGACACATTGACCTTACTTACACTTTTCCTGACGCTGAAGCGAATGACATCAGGGATTCCTTGGTTGTTTTGAAAGACAAATTGCCAATAAACACCTGTTTCTGATCGGTGAGAAAAGGTGCAGCTCGAGTAAACTGATTCTACTGCATACCTTGTGTTCCATCTCCAATTGAGGAGTCTTCAAGACAATAGTCTTTGAGTTATCGACGGTAGTAGCAACACTTGTAGCAGCCATTAGAAGGTTGTTGAAGCAGAGGTGTCAATAAAATAAAATTGGGGAGCAAGAAGGAAAAAAAAAAGGACAAGATTGAAATCATCAGGGGGTTTTTATAAAGTACCAGAGACATATATTTTATGCCCTTTTGTATTTGTCATTTTGTGTTTCCTGGCTCTATTTATCCGCTGTTCTCTCGTCTGGGACCAATAGCATGAAATGTTAAATAGAATGAATGTTATCCGCATGATGTACAAGAAGAGCGATGGGAAAATGCCACAATGGCTTTAGATTAGGAAGAATATACAAAAAGTTTATTTGGTATGAGGTATGATGACTAGAGCGTAAATGTACATGCAGATTGGAAGTTTTGTTCACCACTTCTTTTTGATCTAGTTTTTCTTTAATTGAGTCGAGTGAATCATTACTACTAGTCAGCATCATCTACTTACAGCTTGTTGAACACATTGCTTGAATGCCTGAAATTCCTTTTGACACATGTCCTTCTGCACATCCTTGTAACTGGCTGCAATGCATTTGCCGTAAGCTGCTGCTTGAGCTGGACATGAGGCGACACCTTTAGCAATGACTGGAACACCTCTTGTTGGTTTCATGTTGGAAAGATTGGAGAGAAAAAAACAGTTGAAAAGAGCAAGGGATCATTGCCATTGACTATAAAGTATCACGGAGTTCAAAGGATAAACTTTTCCACTAGAAACACCTCCTTCCTTTTGACAAATGTGCTACTAGTTGGCCATTCACTTTCTTTCCTAATCTCTCTCTTTTTTTTTCTTCTCCTTTCAATATCTCTTGACCAAGTTTGTTGGGGAAACACATAGCTCAAATGTCGTTGAAGAAAGGAAAAATAAGACCCGTGAAGCGCATGGTAAGTTGGACGAGTGGGATCTTGTTTAAGCATGTCAAAGAGGGCACTGTGCTGAACGACTGCGTACATTGTAGCCAGTGATGGACCACACGCAAGAATACGAAGAAGGTTTTGATATCCTGAGCAATGCCATTACGGTGATATTTCAGAAACAAGCGAGAGAACTATCTTATGAACTGCTGTATCGCACAGCATACAAGCTGACCATTCGACAATTTGGAGAGCGTTTATATCATGATGTTGCAAAAGTCATTGCCGATTATTTGGAAACGACAGCGGAACAAGCTATTGTACCTGCTTTTACAAATACTTCCGTCGAAACAAGCACTGCAGATGAAGGCGCTTCCTTTCTCAAGACAGTAAAAAAAGTATGGGACGATTTCAAAGCTGCAATTGATCTTATTCTGCAAGTTTTATACTATTTGGTATGCAACATTTTTTAGCAGGGGAATTCTTGGAAAATTAATTGCCTTGTGCGTTTGTAGAATGACAGACTACCTAAATACAACTTGCCAAGCGTCGATGAAATGGGGCTCAACTTGTTTCGTGATAAAGTGATTCGCTCCAAGCAGTATCCAATTCAGCAACACTTGATATCAGCAATGTTGACGCAAATTCAGTTGGAACGTAACGGAGATGTGATTGACAGAAGTGCGATTCAGTCAGCTGTTTCCATGTTGGTTGAATTAACGGATCCAGATACAAAATTAACAGTGTATGCCGTTGATTTCGAGGCCACATATTTGGATACAACGACTTCGTATTATCAGATTGAAAGTCAAAAGCTGGTCTCCTCGTATGATGCACCTGAATTCATGCGCAAGGTATGAAATTTATGCAAAAATTTCACAAATGTCAGAATTTGTACTCACATTCTTCAAAGGTCGAAAAAAGGTTGGAGGAAGAATACGAGCGCACAGTGCATTGTTTATCGATGACTACAGAGATAAAAATACGTACCATCGTCGAGACTCAATTGATTGCCAACAATCTCAAGACATTGATGGAGGTATGGCCCCAAAATCAGGTTGATTTGAACAGGTTTCTAACCAGTTTCCATGCATTGCAGATGAAGAACTCGGGTCTAGAGAGCATGTTGAACGCTGATAAATATGGAGGTAAAGTGCACGCAGAATCCCATCCGATGATTACTCTATTAATCAATACGATGTAGATTTGTCGCGTATGTATAGTTTGTTTTCACGAGTTCCAGCTGGCCTGAACGAAATGAGAGCCTTCATCAGCAACTATATCCTGACATTGGGCGCCGAGATTAACCAGCACATCATGAGCGATTTGAAATCCAAAGCGGAAAAGGGTTCGAGCAATATTGCAATCAATTGGGTGATGGAGGTATTGGCACTTCAAGACAAGTTTGACAAAATTCTGGATTTAGCGGCTAGTAAAGACAAATCGTTTCAAACGGTATTCAACGAAGCGTTTGAAAAATTCATCAACGACAATAAAAAATCAGCTGAATTTATCTCGCTGTTCATTGATGAAAATCTCAAAAAGGGGCTCAAAGGCGTAAGTACTGACATACAAATTGGGGTAGATATGGAGACTAACGTTTTGCTATCAGAAATCCGAGGATGAAGTGGACGATGTCTTGGATAAAACAATCACATTGTTTAGATTCTTACAGGACAAGGATGTGTTTGAACGATATTACAAACAACATTTGGCCAAGCGTCTATTACTGAATCGAAGTGTGTCTGACGATGCTGAGAGAGGCATGCTATCGAAATTAAAGGTTTGTTCTGAAGCAGTTTTCCAGAATGTATGGCATTTATTGATTTTTCTTTTAGAGAGAATGTGGCTATCAGTTCACAAACAAGTTGGAAGGCATGTTCAATGATATGAAACTGTCTACAGAAATGAGCGCTGCTTTCAAGGAATATTTGGACAAGTCCACCAATCCTGCTGCAAACAAGCTTTCGCTGGATGCTTCAGTAACCGTGCTGACATCCACGTTCTGGCCTATGAACCTCTCTGCTTCACCAAAATGTGTCATGCCAGCCAACGTGACGCAAGCCTGCAAATCATTTGAGCACTTTTACTTTGATAGACATAGTGGCCGCCGCTTGACATGGCAACCGCAAATGGGATCAGCTGATATCCGTGCCTATTTCAAAAAGGGGAAGCATTTGCTGAATGTATCTACCTATTCCATGGTTGTTCTGCTTCTATTCAACAAAAACGACACACTATCCTGGGAGGATATCAAGAGCCACACTCAAATTGCGGATCAAGACCTGAAGAGGACCTTACAGTCATTGGCCTGTGCAAAATACAAAATCCTAGTCAAATCATCCAAGGGAAAAGACATTCTAGAGGATGACTCATTTTCATTTAATGACAACTTTTCATCCAATATGGCACGTATCAAGATCCAAGCACTAGCATCGAGGGTGGAGAATGATGGAGAACGAAAAAATACACAGGACAAGGTGGATGAGGAGCGTAAACATCAGATTGAAGCATCTGTTGTGCGCATCATGAAGGATAGAAAGACAATGGAGCATAATTTATTGATTTCAGAGGTGACAAAGCAGTTGAGTTCAAGATTCATGCCGAGTCCTGTCATGATCAAGAAACGTATCGAGGCATTGATTGATCGAGAGTACTTGGAAAGAAGCGCAGAGGATAGGTAATATCTTAAAGTGCTACTTGCTACTGGGCCCATTACTGACCCCCTTTTTTTTATAGACGAGCTTACCATTACTTGGCATAAAATTTTGCATCATTTCTCATCAATATGTTCAAAGTAATTTTTTTTTTATCAAGAAGAAAGACTTAATATCTCAAGCATCATAACCTATGCTTTTTCACCCCTTGTTTCTAAATAAATAAATAAAAACTAGATCAATCACCTTGTTGTATATATATAATATTTGATTTTAATTAAACATGTAGTTCTGTAGTCAACGAGGGAGTGTGTGGTGTATAATAATATGGGATATAATGATTTAAAATGTCTTTTTGTGAATGATATCAGGATCTTCTTGATATTCTTCTGCAGAGACCCACATCTTTTTAAAAGTGCTGAGAGAAGCTAAAATTGAACCACCAATCCAGGTACTATATTTGCGCTCAGGAGGAGCGTAAATCTTGATCTTGATATCCTTCAATGCAAGTCGCTTGATCTCTGACAAGAGACGCTCACCGAAACCTTTACATAATGTCGATCCTCCAGATAAAACAACGTTGGAATAGAGCGATTTTCTCAGATCGAGATCTGCACGGCCAATACAATCCACAATCACTTGATGAATACCAGGGTATTCTTCTCCAATGAGTTCAGGCTGGAACAAAATTTCAGGTGCACGGAATCTCTCTGCACCAAGCTAGCAAATACATACACATCAGCAATCCAGTCTCTCAGCACCAACGCAATCGGCCTTTACCTTGATAATGTTACCATCAGGCAACATGAAATCATCCACCTTACCGCTGGTTTCCTTTTCTTCTTTGGCTGGATTCAATGCAATGTAACACGTCTTTTCTTTGATGATGCGAACCACCTCCTTTTCAGCTGTAGTATGAAAGTTGTAGCCAGACTTCCTCAATAAAAGCTGTAAATATTCTGTCACATCTCTTCCAGCAACATCGACTCTACGAATGGCATGTGGAATTGCGAAACCTTCATATACAGGTACAGCATGTGTAACACCATCACCTGAATCAAGGACAATACCAGTGGTTCTACCAGAGGAATATCTAGTGTAGAGCATCAGTTTCCATTCAGTGTGTGTATGCGTTAGTTGCTTACAAACTAAGTACGGCTTGGATCGAGGTGAATAATGCAGGGACGTTGAACGTCTCAAAGAAGATTTGAGCAGCAGTATCTCTATTAGCACGAGGATTCAGAGGTGCTTCTGTCAATAGCACAGGATGCTACAATAAGATGGGTCAGAGATCAATGATACAAGACACTGTGCTCGCTGCAGATTGTACCTCTTCAGAAAGTGTTTTAAGCTCATCAGTGTAAATATATTGCCAAATGCGCTCCATGTCCTCCCAGTCAGTGACAATACCATGCTCGATAGGGTATCTGATCTTTAGCAAACCGCGTAGTTCTTGCGCTTTTCTTCCAATAAAGTTGTCTCCTTCAACAGCACCTGCCATGATACGGACGTGCTTTGGTCGGCCTACCCTGTATGACAATCCGTTTATCAGCCTACAGTCAAATCCACAACAACAGGCACTTACATGGATGGAAAAAAGCATTTAGGTTGTTCTTCACCTGCAAAACCAGCTTTTATAACACCTGAGCCCTATACAGTCAAGATGAGTAAGGTCAATAAAGTCGTGTACAAAAAAAACAAAGCCCTACGTTATCAATCACGACTGGTTGGTTAGTCAACACCTAATAGATGAGTGTTAGTAGCAAGCAAGCATTTCATAAGCAAGATGGGTTCTCACGTCATCAAACTCAGAGTTCATCACTTTGTTGAAACAAGAAGAAGGAACTTGTGAAAAGAAATTAGAAGAGAAAAGAGCGAGAGAGAGTGAGAGAGAGAGAGAGGGGCAAATGAACAGCGTGTAAAAACGGAGTTGCTAAATGGTAATATCCAATTTATAATTCATGGTGCCTCTTCAGTCAATCAGCACTGCTATGTTGACTCCATCCTGTGGAAACAGCACTGGTTTTGATATGTGTGTCATTGAGCGATAGACAACCAGTCGAGCCAGAACACCTGGAATACACATTCCAAAGCTAAACTCACTCACATTGCGTTCAGGAACAGAATTTTACTTGTCTCATTGACTCGGATCCAGCGTAGGTTGAAATGATGTAGAATGAAAGGGCTCTTTATTTGGTATGATCAGTCTCTATAGGATAAGAAAGAGTATGCTAGCTATACAAGCAACAGTGAACAGATAATGACTCTGCAAGCAATGCCCATTGCTGATAGTGAGAAGAGAAGGACTTACACCCAGCCGGTTGCAAGTAGGATTATTGATATCAAAATGAAACGTTGTGCCATTGACAGACGCTGTGCCATTCTGCCAATACCCATACTGCACCAAAGCCAAATCAGCATCAGGACAGTAAAACTGCATGAAAGGAGGACAGCTCTGCACCACATGATAGCAGAGATCAATGCAAGGTAATAATTCGGTCCATTCTCCTGGTTTCAGTGTCTCGTCAATCCATGGATTTCGAGAAGCATTGGTAGAGATATCTCGCAAAGCAGGTGCAGCAGGTACATTGTCTGTGCCTTGACTGAGATCAGCGCTTGCAGAAGAATCCGTGCAACGAGGTATCGTAACGGCACATAGCCAAGTTTTATAATCTCGGTAGCAATCTGTGCAGTTGCGAACAAGCGAATATTGCGTGGTATCACAGTTGTATTGGGAAAGGGCTGTGTCAAAAGGCGCAAACTTTTCTTTGGCTTGCGCATCATATTGGCTGGCAAGCGTCCATGGATCGTTGGCTGCGAAAGCAGCTATATCTGTAGGTACACTGTAGGCTACTTGGTCGCAAAAGGGGAGGTCGTAGATGATGCGACAATTGGCATCAATCTTGGTTCCCAAATGGATGGGTGTTGTCATGCCTGTTACTGAGCCCACAGGCTGAAGCATGTAGGCTGTGTAGAGTGTATCTTGTGTGAGGTTAGATACCATGAATTGCTGTCTGATTCTGCTTGTAGGGCCACGACGGGTGGTGGTTGTATTGACACTGTAATGAGAGAGCGTGCGCTGTTTAGCAGCACACAGCGAGTTGGATAATTCAACAGGCATAACAGGCGTAATCAACAGTGTGGCATTTTGTGTATTGCTTTGTATGGGACTCGATAAAAAAAGAGCATTGTTTCTATCTGTGTCTTCGAGAATCACGTACGGTATATTTGATGTATCGTTCTTTTCGTTGTTGATGAATAGCGGATGCAGTGTTTCTATTTGATACCGTGAGTCATATATATAGTATGTCTGCTCGATCCAAATGCTGCTTACGAGTGGTTGAAACACCTATTTCATATGTAAAGTTTCCAGCCCAAGCACCTGCCAAAGCAGGTGCAGCTACAGCAATCCAGATCTCGGATGTCTGATTATCACTTTGCCATTGAATGAGACCGTTGGACGAATCCTCCACAGCAGCACTATTATCTGGACCAGGTAATGTATTCGAGTTGGAGATAGAAACATACACATTCAATGGTGGTACTGTATCGTGGAAGTCAGCAGGCGCTGTAGGTTGATTACAGATGGTTGTTGAGAGATGGATTGTTGGTAAGTCTCGTTTACTGAATAATCGACCAGTTGCTGAAACACTAAAGTAGTAATAATTGTATCCATGGATGGCTACAGAGGATGATATAATCTGATTGTTGGTAAGCTGTGTAGTGGTAGATTGTGCATATATTTGGCTGTCATGAAAGCCATATAAAATGGATAGAACAAAGCTGAACAGATGTATCTTCATTGCTCAAGCACTCTTTTATGTAAGCGTTTGGAAAGAAAAACAAGATGTAAATTCAGTGACGGTTGGACATGGAATTTATTCATAATGCAAATCCCATTTGCTCGTCAACGATGGAAGCAAATGTCTCTGGCTTAGCAGCCGGAAAAGGTGTAAGTTGGCTATGGTTGATGTTTCTGAGGGTATCTGTTAGCTCGCTGTATCGAAAATCAAAGGAATCAGATGATGTGTCTTTCAATGATCGAGATCAATCGTACCTCATGCCGCTGCAAATGGCATAATTGCTCGAATGCATAGCTTGAGCAAGCTGATACTGATGATTGTCCATCAATGACATGTTGACCACTATAATTAGCTTCTTATTCTTCATCCTTAATGCTTGCAATATCGTGCCTGCACCTAATCCGAACCACAAATGTAAATTAGCAACATGAAAAGGTTGCTATGGCAACCGCAATTCTGTACCTGCATGACTGATAATGACATCTGCTTGCTCCATATCTTCCGCGATGGATGCTTTATACTTGTAGCCATCCAAATCCAGGATCTTGCCGTTGTAGGATTGCAAGTTTTTTGCGAATACTTGTTCAGATGAACCAAATTGATATACAACTTTCCTGATGCCAGCCTCTGATAAAGCGTTCAAGAAATCTGAGCCGGTTGTCTGATGTATAAGATCATCGAAACCTGTCGATCCTACTGTTACAAAAAGAGACATTGTGAATCCAATTGCGAGCAAACAAACCGAGAGCTCATTATGCGCGCTTTCTTGTAGAATGCCATTTGTATTCTGTTGCAACAACGTCACAGTGAGATTGCTTTCTGTAGATGCAAGTAGCCATTATGAAATGAAATGCATTAGCTTTATTTTTCTTGTAAATAATTAAAAGGGGTATAGTCAGTAGTAATGTAATATTTAAGATGATGGTAATCGACTAGAAATTGTCTGTAGATTTTGGTGTTGCTGCTGCTGCTGCTGCTGCTGCTGTTGCTGTTGTTGTTGTTGTTGTTGTTGTTGTTGTTGCTGAGGAGAGGTATCATTGCAATAATGCACCTTTAGATGCCTTCTCATATTGCTTTGTACGCTAAATCTTCTTCCACAATCGAGATGAGGACATACATGAGGTTTCTCACCTGTATGTGATAAGATATGAATTCTCAATGAAGAAGGCCTTGAAAACGTCTTGAAGCATTCATTACATTTGTATCTGTTGGCACTGATGATTTTGTTGGGTGGAGGAAAATGATGAGTATGTCGTCTATTCTGTGGTTGTTGATCGCCGCTATAACTGCTGCTGTTACTCGGGGATCTTGGTTGTCTATTGCTGAACGACGATACATCAGATGCAGTGCGTCGATGAAAAGGTCGAAAAGTCGAAGAAGGGGAGCGAGGAGGAGGAGGAGGATCGACAGGAGATGTTGAATGTACCAAGATTCTTTCTGATGCAGAAGATCTTCGCATGTTTTGCTGCATAAACTGATCTGAGTAGGATCGAGTATGTGATGTACGCTGAACATGGTGATGGCTTCTATGATGCTGTAAGGGCTCAGCAGCAACAGCAGCTGTGGGTTGATGATTACCAAGAGTCGTGTTGGTAACACTCAATTGATCCGTATTTGAGCAACTTGTGTAGCCATTTTGGTTTCGATAATCATCTGCTGATCGCCTGTGCCAATCTATCGGTGATGGTGATATTGGAGCTTTGCTTTTAAGATGAATGTACTCTATACTTTCCCTTTGATTGTAAGTTGATGGCGGTTTCTTTTGATAGTGGTCCGATGAGTGCTGGCTTTGTGGTGGTGAATGATAATAGCTTTGATTGTGATGATGATGGCCTTGAACCATGTTTTTAGATTGTTCAGAATCAGGTACTTGTGGGTACGGTGCAGAAGGAGCCAAGGTAGGTGAATTGGATGAGGGCGATTTTCCGTTGGTACCAGCATCTACGTAGGATATAATGAATTAGCATTTTACTTGTTACATATTATATCGATATGTTTACTTTGATGGTTGATGCTTGATTCTGAATTCAGAGTATACAACATATCATGAATTGGAGGCAAATGAATTCGAGTGCTGTTATTCATGATGTATAGTCTGAAATGCTACAAAGTGCAGAGGGTATGGTTTTTTCGGATATCAAGCAACGGATAAGAAAGAGAAGAAGGAAAAGAGGGAAGCGAAAGAAAGAACCACAAATGCTAAAAGATGCAGTTTTCTCGTTGTACTATTGGGGAAGTCGTTTTGTCCAAGGCTTTTCAACAACACATACAAGTAAATCACTCGAGTGTTTAAGGTTTGTTGTGTATCATTGGCTTACATGTCCAGAAGATCAAGGTGAGAAAAAAAATAGCACAACACCAGGAGCCAAAAGCCAGGTGAGTGCTTGGCAGCATCGTATCGACAACATTTGAAGCGTAGTAGTCATGTATAGGCTGAAAGGGCTATATTTAGTTACGAAATGTGTGTAGATCATTTTTCTTCCAGAGACGCAGTAATACATGGTTGTGCACCATGTCTGGTAGAATACAAAGAGAGGATCAGGTGTAATCATAGGATAGTAGACTAGGTAAGCCATGGGACTCATTGTGCCACAAGGTATTCTACAGTATCCATTTGTTTTGATCAGAGTTTCCCTAAAATTTCAAAAGGCTGTACATTTGATATCCATTATCTTGGTATAATTGTATGCATATCGTAGCCTGAACAAGAAACCATATGATGATATGTATCTTTTGAATAAAATCAAATTGATAACTTGAACATAGGGCACACAGTGTACAATGATGAATATCTGAAAAGAATCGTGTGTGAAATTCAGATTTATAAATCACTACAATTGGGTCTATTTTCCTCTACTGTAATTCATACTGTAATACTCTGATCGATGAGTATGTTATATCAACGTATATCGAATGCTACAGGGCATCGAGCCATCCAAGCATGCGAGCCGATGCTTTACATGAAATCGCATTAAAAGTATACATATTTAAATTTATTTTCTTCAACAGAGTATCTAAAGGGTGAAGTAGCAGGAGGGGGAGGCTATATTAAAAATGAAGTGTTTTGAAAGGGTAATGAATAGAAAATAAAAAGCATGAATTTTGAGCAAGAAGAGTGTGAAACGAGATAACAAAAATACAAGGTTGAAAGTAAAACGGGAACATTAGAAAAGCAGATTATTTCTTTGCAGTCTTGAGAGCCTTCTTTTTCTTTTCTAATTTGGCCTTTTGGTCTGCTTTTTGCTGAATACCGTATTGCATCTTTGTGTAGAGCTTTCTCTGCTTGTTGGTCATCATCACTGTGGACATTTCCTTGACTTCCTCTTCCTCGATCTCGGCTGCTGTGCGCTTCTTTGTCTTCTTGGGCTTGTCCTCCTGCTCAACAACGGCAGATTCCTCAATCACTTCATCCTCCACATCCTCATCCTCGTCGCTTTCCAAACCAGTTTCAGGAACATAATCACCTTCCTTGGCATCAACGAAGGGAGACAAATGAGGTGGTAATGTGCTTCCGGGCTCATAGAGACTTGCTTTGACAATTTTACGAGCATTGATACAATCAGCGATCCATTGAGGTTGAACATAGGTGCGAGACAACACACGATTGCTGACAGAGGGACGATCAGTGACTTGGTAGGTGATGGATTCGTCTGATTCAGGGTAGGGAGGGTTAAGACCAACAGAGGGATCCCAACTGACTTGGCCACCGCAGGATTTGATCATGAATTCAAGAGCGTAACGAGGAGTCTCACGGGACAGGTAGAACTTTTGGTTCTTGAAGAGGGTTTGGAGATCAGATGTAGCGTTAGAAGCAGCTTGGATCTTGGCAAGAGTAACTGTGCTGTCATCTTCCTCACCAGCAGCGGCAGTGGATTTGAATTCATCGACAGCGTTGGTATCTTCATCATCATCGTTCTTCGTGGTGGCAGCAGGCATAGCTTCGTCTAAATGGAAGCCTCCAGTCTCATCAATCTTGGGAGGATAGGTCATGTTGATTTCGTTGTATAATTTGAAGTTGACAAAACCAACAAGAGTTTGATAGAATTCTAAAAAGGTGAGCATGACACGGAAATCAACATCTGTGGGGATCTCTTGTGAGAATTGGTAGGGCACGATCCAAGTAATGGTTTGACCCTTGATCTCGGCTTGATAGTAGATACCCTTGATGGAGAAGAAGACCTTGCGCAGACTCTTGGACTTCATGACATAGGCTTGGAATTCAGAGATCAGCTTTTGACATTCGGCAACAGCATCAGCCTTGATCTTGTTGTCAGCAGGTAATTTGGAGAATAAATAGAGCATGGATAAAGCATCGTCGAGATCACGAAGAGCATCAATGAATGAAGGATATCTCTCCTTGACAATGTGATCTAAACTGTACACAGGCTTGTTATTTTCCTCCAAAGATTTTGCTGCAGAAAACTCGCCCTTGTGAAGCACCTTGTTGAGCTTCTTTGCAAATGCCTTGTACTCGCGGAATTTAGCGAGAAGTGGTTCGTGCAAGAGATATTTGATGTCCTTGACATAGTAGAATGTAGCAGGTGCTGTACTACCCTTGTTGGCCTTCTTCTTGTTCTTGGGTTCACGGGGATAGATACCCTTCAAAATACAAAGACGTCTAATGATCCATGACATGCGAATTAGCATTTTGACATTTTTCTCGATTTGCCTTTAGGTTCTAATACGTTGACATTTACCTGAAATCAGCCAAAGAGATTTGAAGCTTGTTCAAAGCTTGTTGTCTAGTGATGAAATTGGCGGCAGCACCTTTGACTCCCTTCTTGACGATTTTAGCCATTTCTTATATATGTAAGGTAATGAGGATTGGAAAAAATTGACTCTCTGGAGAGAGAAAAAAAAAAGGCTTTCATTCAAATGGACTGTCGATAATGCCTTCATTTGTGACATTGAAGTGGCTTATGGTAATGGAATAGATTTTTTACATGTTACACATCGAAATAGCGAAAAAGAATAAAAAGACCTTTCAGATCCTACAACTTGATAGTTCCTTCCTTTTCGCATCCTATTTCGAACTAAAGGTAAACTATCAATCCATCCATCCCCCCTGCACATCCATCCATCCATCCATCTATTGTCATGTTGCAAAGCCTTATGGGAGGCTACTGCACTTGATACTAGCAAACACTTTTATGAATCGCAGTTGGGCGACACTCATTGAAAGTTTGAATTGCTTGCTCATTCCCTGTCCCTCCTTTTGTAGAATTTTATAATGGTCAGAGTCTCCGTTTTGCAAGATTGTTTGAACAACATCAACAACGCTGAGAAGCGTGGAAAGAGACAAGTTCTCGTCCGTCCCTCCTCCAAGGTCATTGTCAAGTTCTTGTCCACTATGCAAAAGCATGGTAAGTACATCAATCCCTCTTCTACTTTTTTATTCTTTGCCGCTCCGTAGTATAACTGATTATATGTTGGGATCTCTACAATGTATGATTTTTAAATCTGCGGAAGATTCACTTCCTATCGTTTGTTTCGTCAAACATTTCAAACTTTTTTCTCTACTTGATTTGTGATTGCACTCAAATGTCGGATACAGCTTACTGATATTTCTATCAATTTTCAGGTTACATTGGCGAGTTCGAAATCATTGATGATCACCGTTCCGGTAAGATTGTTATTCAACTTAACGGCCGTATCAACAAGTGTGGTGTCATCTCTCCCCGTTTCAACATCAAGCTCCCTGAGCTCGAGAAGTGGACCGCCAACTTGTTGCCTGCCCGTCAATTTGGTTACTTGGTCTTGACTACCTCTGCTGGTATCATGGATCACGAAGAGGCTCGTCAAAAGCACGCTGGTGGTAAGATCCTTGGTTTCTTCTACTAAGTTTCTCTTCCTCCTTTTTACACCCATTATTTATCCATTGAATAATTTTGTGTGCTAATAAATTTGTTCAATACATAATACTCTTGCATCCCCTCCCTCTTATTGTACATATACACATTAAAATCTAATCTCCAAAATCCAATCATGTGTGTGTTGATTACTTTCATTGTTGGTTTGCCAGGGCTTTTTATACCTGAATCAGACATGTGTGATGCCGCAGAGTCCCTAAATGAAAAAGGGTTTCTGTTAAGAAAATAGAAAACGAAGCTGAAGTTTACCAGCCAGATGAATGGATCGAAAAAAAAACTCGCAGCAGTTTAAATCATGAATTTATTTTATATTTTATGAGAACCTCTAATATTTATTAAGCGAAGATGAGTGTGTTTATGCTTCGGATGGCTCTCTACCTTTGCTTCGCTTCGGTGAGAACCAGCCTGCACAGCGGCAGCTCGCGCAACGGATTGCCCTTGCTCATCTTATCAAATACTGCTACTTTCATTTTAATCTTCCTATTACACATAAGAACCCTGCAATTATCTGTGGATCTGACTCTTATGTGGTGTTCCACATCCGTATACACGTAGATACTTCATATACGACCAAGCAGCACACTGCTATTGCTCCTTTTTAGCCAAGAGTGTCCCTGATACAGCAAAATCTGGGTGCATTTGAGCTGTGTTTTTCCGCGTTAAAGGCCGTTTTAGACCGTCAGAGTAGCACCAAACAATTGCTTTCATCTAGCGCTTACTTCCTGACACCTTTGCTCAACTTTTTGGGGACCAAAAAAACTGGGTCAAAAATCGACCAAAAAGCATGAGGTATCCCTCATGGTTTTTATCAAAAAATTAAACGATCGCATTTTTGACCTTGAACACGAAGACTTTTACTATGGTATATCTTGAATCAAAATGTTTCTATCGATCTAACGTAACTCCTGAAATCAATTTTGTGGGACCTTGACATGTAAAATTTCGACTTTTTGGCCAGAAACCTCTTTTCCTATTTTCGTAATTTGCTCATTAAGTCTATTCAAAACATTTATCTTACTTGGCACCATTGGAAGCGCCTTGAAAAGTACTCCAAGAATGTATTAGGATGCATCGGATGATCATCATATTTTCATAGTCGGATCTGTTAAAATAGATCAATCGAGTCGAAAACCATCAAGATTTGGCCAATCTGGAATAGACTGTAATTCTGGGTTTGAACTATTTTTGGCGGCTGGTGGGGCTAGCTGGCAAACTCAATGCCCTTTTCATCATGAAGGCAATACAGTAATAGATTCTTTTGAAACGTATGGGAAGTATGTGGCAAAACATATAGCATTGCTTTTAGCCATTCTATTTTTCTTGTATTCTATATTTAATAATGCCAGTCTGTCAAAATGCTTGTTAGATCATCTTCTTTCCTTTTTGAGGCTGTGAAAATGTCTAGTAGTAGGGACCATAAATTTATTACGATACTATAAGCATTTCGACTCTTCGGTTGGTTTCCTGATCTACGCTTCGCTTTGATGGAAGCCAACCTACGTTCAGATGGCTCGCGCTTCTGGGGGGTCTTTGGCTAATATTGCAAAATTAACAATAGCCAAATGTTAGAAGAAACTTGATTGTTGATTGATAGCACAGTAATTTAACACTACGCTTGATGTCGGCGTCGCCCTATGGGCTTTCGACAAAGACATTTTAAATTAGATATTATAAAATTTTGGTATATCAAATGTATTTTAAACAAACAATTGTTCGTTAGTAAAAGAAAGGTTCTATCAGAGCCAGGAGGAGGAGAGGAGGTGTTTCCATCAGCGTCGTTTTTGCTTATACTGATATCAAACAAAGCCTATTATTGGGACAATGTGAAAGAAAATTCAGATTTTATGCAACATTTGTACATCACAATTGTCATTTTCTGATAACAGAATTGCCATACCATTCACTGCTGCTGATGCTCTTAATAAGATGGCGGCATAAAGCTGGCCATAAGTAAATGCAGGACTTGTGTAAGATCTACAGCGACTTTTTTGAGGTATTGTCATTGCAAAAGACATCTTCATGAGGCAAAGCTCCACAAAAATAAGTATTTGGGCTAAGCAATTGTCCTTTCAATTCCATGATCCCCATTTAATCAGCATCGCAATCATCATTGTCATCAACAGAAAGGCATTTAGGTCAGCCAGCAGCAATGCCGCCGCCAAAATTGATTCAAACTCCTCTTATTTTTTTTTTGTTCAAGATTGGACAGAGCTTGCCTTTTTTCGACTTCTTTAATCTATTTTGGGATATTCGATTATATAAATTGTAATGATTACTCTACGCTTCCTAATACAAGCCCTTGGTGGTAGGGCGAAGTGGTAAAACTCCCGTATGCCAACGGGAGGATCCTGGTTCAAATCCTGGTGAACGCAAGTTGTTTGATTTTTTGACGTAGTACTGATGTCCTCGTTTGGTGTTTTTGTACTCTTATCCATGATCTATATTTTGACGATTTCCGCAAGACTGTACTGGCTCTAGGAGTCGCACCTTATTAGTAGTAGATTTCTTTCCCAACTTAGTTCAAAATATCTTATTCCCCTTCTTTGCAGACATTGGGTCCACCAACAGTCTTTTCTTTCCCTCAGCATGACATTTTAAGGACTTTAAATAAAACCTGGAGCTCGACTCCCCTACAAAAAAAAAAAACGCTTCCTAATACACAAGCCCGTGGTGGTAGGGCGAAGTGGTTAAGCATCAAACATGCCATCTGGATGATCCCGGTTCAAATCTCGGTGAATGCATTTTGGTGATTATTTTGACGTAATAATGATGTTCTCGTTTGGTGTTTTGTGCTCTTATCCAGTACCCATTTTTTGACGATTCGCATGATTGTATTGGCTCTAGGTGTCGCACCTGATTAATAGTAGATTTCTTTCCCAACTTAATTCATTATATATCTTATTCCCCATCATTGCAGACATTGGGTCCAACAACAGTCTTTTCTACCACTCAGTATGACATTTAAAGGACTTTAAATAAAACCTGGAGCCCGTCTCCCCTACAAAAAAAAATGCTTCCTTAAGCTTCCCTGGAGTACTTTTCAAGGCGCTTCTAATGGTACTAACTATGATAAGCGTTTTGACTGAAATTATTGAGCAACTTAATAAAATATGGAATGAGGCTTTTAGCGAAAATAGCCATATTTTGCATATGAACATCTCATAAAAGTGGTTTCATAGATTGCTTTGGATCGAGAGAAACATTTTGATTCAATACATACCATAGTAAAAGTCTTCATTTTCAAGGTGAAAAACGCGATCGTTTGATTTTCGATAAAAACCATGAGGGATATCTCATGCTTTTTGGTCCCAAAAAGTTCAGCAAAGGTGTCAGGAGATTACTACTACTCAAGCACAATTGTTTGGTGTCATTCCGGTGGCTCAGAAAGGTCTACATGTCAATATATGAAGTCTTGAAAAATGTCCAATTTGGTTGTATATTTGCTTTATGGCTTTTATTTACACGGCATGAATCTCATCTTTGGTAGCTGAAGCCTTCTGGATGGGCAGTTCTGCAGCCTGTGTAACTTCTAATTCGAACAAGAGGCATTTTGATTTTGGTAAATCTGATTCATGCAAATTTGGTGCGCTATGTTGCTGCTAAGTTTATTAATAAAGGAAATGAGAAATCGAATTTGCTGCTTAGATACTATGGCTTTGCATATTCGCTTCGCTACAATCAAGCCTTCGTATAGATCAATGCTATCAAATGCTGGATTGGATGCTTAGTTGTCATAGGTTTGCACCTTTGCTTCGCTGCGATCAAGCTCTCATATAGATCAGTGTTACCAAGTGTTGGATTAGATGCGCTATGTTCTTCCCCCAAACCCCCTCTCCATTGCCGGCTTTGCCGGTGGTTTTATTCACCTTGTACGGCACACAATTCTTTAAAATTTTGAAAGGATATGGCTTGCCTGTCTACTTTTTTTTTTGAATGTTTTACAGGATATATAATGATAAAATCTCTACATATATGAGCCATGCCTGACAAATGCCTGATAACTCCGTTTCCATATTAAGGTTGTAAAAGTATCTAGGGACTATACGTTTATTATGTTATGATACTATATGCATAGTCGCTATTAAGCGTCTACTAAACATCTCTTTCTAAATGATCTATTTTTGACCATAAGTGGCAACTGACTCTTCTATGTTTGGGGATTTGCAAATGCCAAAACGGTACTAAAACAGCTTTGCAGAGATGCACATCTCCCTAACTCCCCGAAGTTCAAAATCCGTTCCTGAGTTTGTGTCGTTCAAAATAGATTAAAGTTCAAGATGACAACACATGGTTGCATTAGAGCAGAAGGTTATTCCACCAGCTGTTTGTTAAGCCGACAAGTGAAGGGATGGATTACTTGTAGGTTCGCTCTAGACATCAATGGAGTCTACATTGAGTGTATACTGTATACCCAGACATAGTCATATAAGCAGAGATTGTTGATGGTTGAAAGTGTGAAGTTTATTAATTTTGATAGTAAATAATAATATATGTAACAATGTAAGAATAAAAGATTTACAGTGGACACATTTCTAAAAGACTGTGCCTTTGACTTGTGAAATCTTTGCAAGATCAATGTTTCTAATCAAAAGAACCCAAATGATACACAAGCCCATGATACCAGTACCAGCAGCAAGCATTCTTGTTTGTGCATAGCCGTAAGCTTCTTGAATAGCTATTCTTACAGGGCTACCCATTTCATAGCTTAATTGAGTCTCCAAGTCCTCGTAGATCATGTCAAAATTTTCCATGCCTTCAGCAGGGAGATACGCAGCAAGTGCGTATTGGAATGTGTTGGCCCAAATAGCTCCACAGATGGTAGCACCAATAGCATTGGAGGCTGTACCAACGACAGACAATATACCAAGAGCTGCTGCCACATGTTGATGATCGACAGCTGCTAAAATTGCGACTTGCTGTACAATAATAAAGGTGCTTCCACCGATAGAGATAAAAACTTGACACATGACAAGGTAACCAACGGATTGATTAGGACGACGGAAATAAATCATTAAACCTTGTGCGAAGATGTAAAGTGGGACAGCAATGTACAACAACCACTTGAAACGACCGAATCTACGGATTAAATAGCCAACACCCAGCAAGAGCACACCAGAAACAACATCAAATGTGTTGCCAACATAACCAGCTTCGGCCAGCGAGAGGTTATTAACAGCTTGCAAGAAGGATGTAAAGTAGTTTGCCCAACAATAGTAAGAGATCTGATAAGTTGCATTCAATAAACAAACACCGATGATGGTGCGATCAGAGAGCAGCTTATAATTGAACAGTGGTACAGGAGCAACAAATGTTTCAAATGAGACAAAGATAATAAGCATCACAAAACCAACAACAATCATCGCAATGATATACCCAGTAGCCCAGCCATTAGGAGCGCTATCAGCAATACTGAATGGAAGCAAAAAGACAGTGAGACCAACAGAGAAGATGAGAACACCGACAACTATAGAGAGTTAGTATTTGCCTCTAGGTATGCCTGATGTGTGGGTTTACTTACTGTCAAATTGGATGATGAAATGCCAAACGCTTTGCAAAAATGTCCTACCACTGTCAACCTTTTCAACGTTGTGTTGTTTGATAGCCTTGCGAAGATTAAACTTGAGGATAAAGTACAAGGGGGCAGCTACGATAGGGAACACAATGGCGAATGTGCCAAAACCCCATCTCCAACTGATGTTGTAATAAAAGCCTTCTGCTGCTTTAGCACCAGCAAATGCAGTGATCATGTAGGGAGAGGATGTAAAAGCGTAAGCCAAACCTCGATTCTTGAGTTTGGATGAATCAGCTGTAATCACGTCAACAGAGAAGGTCATGCCGCCAAAACCAATGCTATAAAAGACCTGTAATACATGTAAGTATGCGTACCGTAGCAACACAATATCCTCAACCTACATAGGCAGCACAAAAAGTGGGCAAATTGTGGCAAACAGCCATCAAGACCAGACCCAAGGTAGCAAATATGGTCATGAGAAGGAAGCCCTCAGCACGGCCCCAGACATCTAACACTTTGGCCAATGGAATATATACGGCTGCAGAGATGGCACTGGCGACAATGTAGATGACATTGAGCAATGAGTGAGAAGAGAAATCACTAGTAACGTAGGGGATCAAGTTGTAAAGAATAGAGGACTGCATAGCATTGACGAAATAGAGGAGCCAGATACTATAACAGAACATGTTAGTCTATCATTGTTAGCATAACAGAACAAAACATACTTGATAAAGACTGCAATCAATGTAGCCTTGGACCAAGTCAAGGTCACTGCCTCAACTTCTTTGACACCTTTTTGAGCATCTTCAGTAGGATGTTCTGATTTAGGATTGTCATGGCTTTCAGTTGGCACAATGCTCTCAATGTCGAGCTCTATTTTGTTTTTTTCCTCCATTGCAATTTATGTCAATGTAAAAAAGAAAGGAAAGCAGAAGGAGAAGAAAGAAGAAGAATGAGAAGGATGCCATGCAAACTTGTTTTCAACCTATTTATAAAAGTTTTTAGCAGTAATACGAACAACCCCAGAAACGCCCTAATTCAAAACTCTTCCTCATAGTAACATGCTATTTGTTCGTCTACATACCACAAAACCATACCTAAACACGGATAGGATTACTCACCATAAATAGCTTGCAAATCAAAGAGTACAGCCTCAATATTGACATTACTATAGAACCACTACCTAACTGATCAGATGTAATGGCTCATGTTGCACCATCTGCAGGTGTATTCATTATCAGATTCTCTTCTAACTGTGGAGCTCCTATTATCAGATGATCTTGATTTACGGTGTCTCAATGTTGCATGCAGTAGGATTTGTAGTACTCTTCGTCTGAAGCTCAAACACCCAAACTTAATTTGGTTAAAAACCAGGGTACAGATCAAGCACTTTGCGTCTAGACAAGTATATTCAAATAGCATTCTGATGCTACTTTTTCAAGGTGAATGCTTTAAGGAATTGCTCGACACAATATATACTCAACCATACATGCTTTGACGCGTTGCAATCAGGCATATTCAACGGTTAGAATGGTCGCGGAATTGATTGTAGATGAAGAAATCGTAGAATATGGTGTGATTTAGAAGGAGATGAAAGCGAATTTGTGTTACTGATGTCCAGAAATGTATCCTTCCTTTATCTCTTAAATGCGCGCAAATAATTTGGAATCAATTCTGAATTGAGGACATGCTTTTCTATAGCGGTCAGCATCTGTCTAGGTAATGAAGAGATGTGGATAATCTGTGGAGGAGGATTGCCTGTAAATATCTTCAGCAAGTGATTTTCAAGTAGATTTGCTCCTTTTATGAGAGGTTAGTGCATCAAGGGCGTTGATAACATCAAATCTCTTTACCATCCACCGAAACCTAGTTTCATCAAAGCTGTTTTATATCTGTATACCTTTGAGGAGTGTAATACAGTGAGCAGAATCTCGACAGATGGTCATTCAAGTGCTGCCATAAAGGGGTACTAAGTGGCACGAATTGACAAAGGTGGCCATAAATTAAAGACTCAGACTTCCGATGGTTTTCGTACAGTGCTCTACATTCGAATAAAAGTGCACAGTGCATTTCTGCCCACATACGATATCTACACGAGCCATCTGTATTCAGTAATCTATCAGAATACGGCAAATGCTGGCCACATTCGACTGCTGATTTCTCCCTGTAAAAGCCTTTTCAGAAGCTCAGGAACACGCCTAATGATTACTCTTGATTCCTAGTTACTTCCAGACACTATCTCAATTTTTTTTTTGGATCATGAAAAATCAACGAAATCTATCAATTTTAGACGAGGGATGGTAAGACCAAATCTTGAAATTTCAAATGATTGCGTTTTTCACCTCGAAAACGACGTTTTCTTCTATGGTGTTCCTAATATCAAATTGTACGAAATTACTCGACACAACGTCTGAAACTGTTTTTGTGGAATCTTCATATACAAAAAGTTGACTTTTTCTTCAAAAACCACTTTTCCAATTTTTGTAGATTGCTCAATACTTTAAGTGAAGAAAGTATATATGAATAACACCCTTCGATGCGCATTGAAAAATGACATTGAAAAGCTTAAGGAGGATAGGTATGGTAAATATGACTTATCGAGTCAAATTTGAATAGGAAGGATTGAAGATGGCAAAATTAAGTCGATTCTGGACGGCGAGTTCAAAGCTCCACTCATCGGACTTTAAAATAGACGTCGCCGCCGTTGCGGCCATAGCTGAATGATAGCTACTAGCACTCAAACAGCATGCCCTAGCACATGAATTTATCCTATAATCATCTAGTAATCAAAGAGAAAAATAACATCGGTTTTTTATATGCGCTGCGCTTTATTTATTTCTTACACATATACCCCGCAATTCAGGAACATCACTCATGAATCAAAAACGCATGACAGTAACTTTATTGAATATTCAATGATGCTCTTGTCCTTCTAAGGCCAAGGCTTGATCTATTTTCTCTTCGTCTCCAACCTGCTTATTTAAAATGTAGAACCCAATCAAAATTAAAGCGCTTCCGACAATAGTAGAAGCAGGCACCATGACGCCTGTGACCAACACATCTGTGATTGCCACAGCAGGCACCGTCAACATGACACCAACAGCAGCAAATACAGGGTTGACCAGTGCAATGACTGCCATAAAGGTTGCATTATAGATCACGCTCATTGATGCAATGGCCAATATATACCCAAATGTAGACAAGTCGGGTAACTCGAATGTTTCAATACCAGTGAAATGAAGCAAGGGGAAGGGTATCCATAACAGCAGAAATGTGACAATTCCAATGATGCCCGTGATAGTATTTGCAAACAAAATTGTGGGTTGAGTAGGTGATGCATACTTTTTGTAATAAACTTCATAGAATCCATAGAGAGCAGCACCCACAGAAGCTACCGTAATGCCAATCCAGTCCTTGCCAATGCCTCTTGCTTGTTGCAAAATGTCCTCGCCATCGTTAACCTCCTGTTGTGGCCAACACGCCATGGCCAATACACCTGCCATGCACAACAATACTGCGCCGACTTTGGCGGCAACTAGTCTGTCATGTAACATCAAGATGCTAAACAAATAAGCAAAGAAGCAGCCTGTGTTGTAGATGGCCGTAAGGTTTGACATGGAAGTGAGGTTGACACTGAGATACCAAATGTAAGCCGGTAGAGTTAACAGAACGGACAGACATAGACTGGTCTTAATGACGAACCCAAGAGGGAATACTTGATCTCCTTGCACTCTGTATTGTAGTTCCAAAAGAGAGTTATTTACAGATGTTTTGCTTTTGTTTACTGTTTCAATGATTCGTTGATACAGGCTGGCATCTTTGGATGTGTGCTGATGGCTGTGGTTGTGTTGGATATATTCCGCTATGAGTTGCAGTGGAATCATGAATACATAACAAGAGTGACTAATGTATCTGAAAAGAAAAGGCATTTAGCTGGTTTGCAACTACCTTCATATGCTATGTGAAGCTTACAATATAAAGTAGGGTTTTGAGTAATTGGTAGTTTTCTGAACAAATTGAGCGAGTTCAGTCTGTAAAACAAAGGTAATGATACAAATGGTGAGCATGACAGTTGCTAGCACTGAACGGGATTTTCGAGGCTTAAATAGCGGCACCAACGTAGGTTGATCTTCTGCTGGAACTGTATGATACGAAGCCATTGTCTTTTTGTGGGCATGCAAAACTGAAAAGGCGTAAAGAAAATATGATTTGTAAGATGCAAATATAAAAAAAAAAAAAAAAAAAAAAAAAAAAAAAAAAAAAAAAAACTTAGATGTGTCGTTTTGGTAGTTTTCATTGGCTCAATGTAATGATTTTGTCCATGATTTCAAGATGTTTTTTATGTGAATAGATCGAATATTTATACAGTAGAAGAGCGATGTAATCATGTGGTTGTGTAGATGGTGCTGATATTCAACGAGAAGAAGGGCCTGTTGATTTCTTTCTCATACTGCCGTAGGATTCTTTTGGCAATTCATTGGGTAAGTCGGTCAATGCACTGGAATACAGCATATTGAGCAAACAATATACGCTACACTTGAGTAAAAACGTACCGCATCATCTTCAATCGAGTCTTTGCTGGGCTCTACTCATTTATCAGCATGGATTAGCAACATACGGCCATGTGCGCTTAGTCCATTTTGTGCGCATTTACCTCGCCATCCTTCACAGCTTGTAATGCCAACAATGAATATTGCTGTAGTGCATTTGCAGCGGCTTGTCTCTTTATCTTTGTAGCATTGTCTGCTCTCCTCGGTTGGTATATTAAATTGCTATCAATAGACGACATCATTAAACAGAACGTAAAAGGGAAACAATCAATGTCCAAAAGCCACCACCGCAGCTCAGGCCAAGTTATCTATAAATTGCAGGTTAACGTGTGTAGAGTCACTTTTTTTTTCTGTTCCCTTTTTTTTTTTTTTACCTCTGAATCAAAAAGCAATATACCACTAATACACAGATGAAGGACACGTCAATTGAAGCCTACACGCTCATGTCCATCACCAACAGAGACATGGATGATGGTGATGTGAAAAACGCCATATTACTATCCGAGAGACTTTATGCCATAGACAACACCAATCCGCAATACAAGTTCTTATATGCAAAATGCCTCTATCAATCGCTGGATTACAATGCAACCTATATCATTCTCAAGTCTGTACAATCCATACCGTGTCTCAACCTGTTTGCAAAGAGCTGCTTGGAGCTTGGAAATTCAGAGGAATCAGACGAAATGCAACGGCTGTATTGGAGTGAGGGTGTTCAGGCACTGCGTTTGGCTCTGTCCATGAATGATTTGCCACAGAAAACATATTGGGGAGATGGTAAGAAGCATAGGTAACAACAATGGCACTGACCTATTGACTCACGCACTACTGAAATAAGAGCTGGCGAGCAACACCACTCGACACCACATGCCTAGTAAAGCATCGTTATGCAACTTGTTGGGTGATTTATACATGAAATTGGACAACATTCGAGCAGCATCTATTTACTACTGGACTTGCTTGGAATCCAATCCCTACAAAATATCAGCGTATATGAAGTTATGTGATATTGCGCCAGACATTGATTTCAATACAGCCAAACTACCGCAAGACATATTCACAAACTTTGATCCAGCTACAACAGACCTCTCTCGATCGTCACAGTCTTATTTACCCTCTGCTATATCCATGCATCAATGCGACATCTCCTTTTCCAACGAATTAGCGTCTACTTCGGTCAGAAAGAATAGCTGGGATATGCCGCTACTCAAAGACGAATACCACGATACCACAGTAGATCAGTTGCGTGCCCTTGTTCGAGTCTCATCCAAGATCAGCGAGAAAAGCCATGAAAACTTGGACAATGAAATCGAAAGAGGGGAAATTGAGCATGCAAAGGACAGCATCATCCATAGCATCAAGAGCGATATCGTGCAAATGAAGGCCAACGAAGCGTACAAAAATAAGCACGGATTGCATAAAAAACCGCCTGTACAAGCACCTCAGAAACTTAAAGTGGATTTGACACTAAATGACGAAAATGATGTCAATTATGCAGAGGAAAAGAAAGTCTATGAATCCATTCAGCGAAATGTTCCCCCTCGTTTAGTGCGAAAGCAATCAGCGGATAATTTGGAGGAGGACACTGTGCATCGCAAGAAGAGAGTCAAAACGGGACCATCACGACAACAGAAACCAAAATCGCTGGAAAGCTACTTTTTACCCTCTTTTCATGGCCAGTATGCCAATGACCCTGACACAGATGCTTACATCATCGAAGGCATGAACAAAATCATGAAGGTGCTCTGCATCTTGGCAAATGGATATTTACGGCAATCTTTTTACAACTGTGAAAAAGCAGCTTTAGAGTTGCAGCAACTGGATGATTGCCAGTACAATTCAGCCCGTGTATTGTGTATTCTCGGAAAAGCTTATTACGATGCAGGTGATTACACTAGCGCTCGAGCTTTTTTCAAGCAGGCATTTGTCATTGCACCTTGGTTCTGTGATTGTGTGCCCATCTATTCAACGTGTCTATGGTATTTGGAAAAGGAAAAGGAGCTCAATTTGCTGGCATTCAAGATGAAGGACAACAAGAGCCATCTATTTGAAGCGTACGTTGCTGCAGGCAACTGGGCTAAATGCGTCAAGGGTGGCAATGAAGCTACTCAATGGTTTCAAAAGGCGGTGAATTTGGATCCATCTCGATCTTACGGACATGCATTGCTGGGCTATGAAGAATGGGAAAAGGGCAACAGTTTGGGCGCAAAGCAACACTTTTCAAAGAGCATGATTGCCAACAAGAGATCCTATATTGGCTGGTATGGCATGGCGACAGCGTACCAAGGCATGGAGGAATATGCCCAGGCAAGGACTTTGTTGACAGAGGCTGTGCGATTGCATCCTAGACATCCTATTGTGCTGGCTACCATGGCTGAAGTGCTCTGTGATCTGGAATTGTATCAAGAAGCTTTTGATTTCATTGAACGATCTCTCAGCATCAAGAGTAGCCCGTCCAATCTCAAATTGAAAGAAAAGATTAGTCAGAGATTACAGATTCAGGAAGCTGGCAATTATGTGTAGTAAAAAAAAAAAAAAAAAAAAAATGCCTGTGGCAGTAATAAATAGTTTTATTGATACGGTTCTATGGTAAAATGATATCGCTGAGGGGTCTAGCTGAGAATGGGAAGAAACTAGTAGAAAATAAAGTGTTAATTTAACAATTACCAAGGCTCAGAGAATACTTACATTGCCAACTATCACGCTAGGTAGATCAAAAATGTCTCGTTTTATGGTAAAACAAAAAGTGCAGGGTACCACTCTCTTTGTAGGACTCATCAAGATGCAGGAACTATACACGGCTGAATCCGTATTATCGAATGCGTGCAACGCATACTTTTCCCAATACTCAACAGCAGAAGGATCGCTCATCAACTAGAGTCTTGCATGAGTCTTCCGCCCAGTCCCTCTCTTGTCATGATAACGTACCTCGTAAATATATGTCTTTTTACTCAATATCGCATCTCGAGACCACTGCGTTAATAATGAAAACTCCTTGCCAACCAGTGCAATTTCGCCCGTTCGTCTCCAGACGACCGTTGGTGTGCCTGAGTAAGTGATCAACTTCTCGTATTCCTATACGACATCCAGAGTTAATGTTTTCCAAGTATAGTAAAATATAATGCTTACCAGCAACGTTCTCTGCAGACATTTCTCTGTAAAGATCAGATCATCCTCAGTCAGATTCATCATGGAAGCCAACACAGATGGTCTGAACAATGCCAACGCTTTGCTGATCCTCATCAGCTCGTCTCTTCCCATTCTAAAAGTAGATGGCATTAATCCCCCGTTCACCTTTCTCCTTCGCTCGCTTACTTTTGTCTCACATAATTGATAAGATAGTGATATCCGTCCGCATAGCTGAATGGTTTCGAGGCATTATTGTATCCCATCCGTTGCGATTGCATGTGCTGCTGTTGCGGATAGTGGTTCTTTTTGAATGATGGAGGTGGGGTGACGATGAGATTTGATTTTGGACTATGATCGATTTTGGCAATGGCAAATGTTGCTGGATCAGAATGTTGTTGAGGTGAGTATAAAATAGGATCGCCTACTAGATTAGGTGTATAAGCAGGTGTTGATGCAGTAGTGGATGTGGATGTTGCTGTAGTATGGGTATCATGATGAATAGTAGTGGTGTTGTTGTTGGGGCTCCAGCTCTTGCTCTGCGCATTGTCCATAAACTGTGGCGAGCCCAACATGTTGGATAAGATGGAGTATTCCAGGTTGGTAGCGTTCGATCCAAATCCATAGTTCAGAGCATTGTTGCTGTTATCTAGACCCAGTAGTTGATTTGCATCGATAAGGCTTGCTGAGTTGATCAACAGCGTATCAGTCAATTTATGTTCATGTCATGTATACACAAGGGTAGGGTACCTCCATTTAAGAATGACGGCTGCTGTGCACTGCCATTGTTGAATGTGTCCATCAGTTGCTGGCTGGGAGCCGGTGTATATCTCGATTTATTGGATGTGCTGCTCATATTGTCTGCAAATAGCATGCTTAGCTAGACGAATCAGCCATCACTCGCCCTTCTTACCTTCTGCATCTTGCAGGTATTTCGCCTTCTTTCTAGCACCATCCGTACATGTATTTGCTAAATCCCTCTTTATACATCGTTGACATGGTCGAGCTATAATTAGTTTTTTTTTTTTTTTTTTTTTTTTTTTTTTTATAAAAATTAGCTGGATGAGTCACAGGAAAGATGTGTATAGCTTACAATCATCACAAGTTAAATGTGCCTGTACGTGAACCGAAATCATGAGCATCGTCAGAACCACTATAAAGTAGCGAGATCACTCACCTTTTGGCAATGAACACAGGCTCTGGCTGCCTTCTTTTTTCGTTGAGGCACTTTTTGTTGCTGTGTGGTTGAAGTGGGAGACATGTCGTTTGCGTTTTTCTGGTCTGAATTGGCTTTTGTGGCCATAGATTTGCTGCTTTTATAGACGAAAAAGAAAGGAAAAGAAAGAGAGAGACAGAGAATGAAAAAGAAGAGCAGGAAACACCATCAAATTCTCATTACCAATACTTGATCCAATCATAATCATGATTACTCAAGTCCAACCCACTGCGGATAAATGGTTAACCTGGCTTTGTTTCTTCTTTACCCCACATTTTATGTCTGCAATTGTAAATATAACTTTATTCTTTAATGTGTGGTTGGTGTTCATCTACGGGTCCAGGCTCTCCAGGTCCCTCCTCAGATGCTTCCTTTTCATTGCCGCCCTTGGAATCAGCACTCTTTGGTGCTGGAGGTACAAATACAACACCAAACATTTGACCCTTATTGTACGTGTATTGCCAGCCAAATGAAATGACAAAGATGATAGGAATGAACGCAATCATGATGATCGCATTGCGAGTGATGGTATATACAACTTGGTGATATGGGTTGCCATCTAGAATGGACTTGATGCCAGCCAAATAGCCAGTGTGCGCCAGGAATTCAATGCCAACGATAAAGCAGTACGATCCAGCGAATGCAAAGGTAAAGAGCAATACATAGCGCTCAGCGAAGAAGGTGATGAACGACATGAAGAAGGGCAAGGCCACTAGGAATGCTGCTCTTGCCACTACCTGAGTGATCAGCAAGTCGGCCTTGCAGCATAGAATGTACATGGCTAATGTGAATCCGCCGAGAGCTATGGGTGGGGCAAAAAGTCAGTAATTGTTTACAATCTGCAACGTGTGGTGACATGTACCTCCCACGAGATAGATGGAAATGTTCCAAAAGACAGCATAAATGATAGCACCAAGTATACCCAACCCAGCAGGAACAGCAATGGTGGTGATATCATTGTTGATATAGCCATAGTAGGGCTGGTTGTTGGCCATGGCTACCCAGGTGATGAGACCAAATGTCAAAAAACCGCAAACAGCCAATGTGATTCTGAATGATCTGAACCCAAACACCATCAAATAGAGACCTAGCACAATCAAGAATGCGCCTGCAACACCGTTTTGAGGAGTGATGCCTATGCCACCGTAAACGTCCTCTGTATCCTGTTTAGTCTCCGTCATACGCTCTATATAGCTCAAATTGCCTTACCTGGATTCAAAGAAGGTGCTGATGTGGGCCATGGTTTTGAAGTGAATGTTGCAGTTGCGGTACTGGTGCTTGTCTTTGTTGTTGTAGTAGTTGTCTTTCCTCCGCCCGAATTATGAAGATCAATCACATCTCTTTTGTCGTTGTTTATAATCTGCAGAGGATGAGATTTGGTGGGTGTTGTGATGGCTGTTGCATTCCTCAATGCACCGTTGTTGAGGACAATGGGTGAGGCATGAATAGATGCAAGGACGATGAGCAGCAACAGCGAGATGAGTAATGAGAACCGTAAATACGACTTCATTTTAGTAGATTGTGTATGAAAGAGAGAAAGAAAAGAATGAATGAGCTGCACCTCTCAAGCTAAAAATTGATTTCATTGCTCTTTTTATCAGATTACATGTTATTTGTTATGTCTTCATGTCTCTTTTTGATCTCTAACAACATCTTTCTTAAAAGGGCAATGTTTTCAAATCTTGTACTCCCATTTCTCATCCTTTCTGGCTGTATATTCTGTCATATCGATATGATAAAATCATCATGCTTTGTGTATCTATATACTCAGACTGTTATTTATAAATTGGTTGCTTAATTGCAACAGCTATGAGGCACAATTGTCATGCATTATTGAATTATTTGCCCTTCAAACCATTGCCCTACACATCCTATATGCCTATTGAAGTTATGTCGTTCACCTGAATAGCTCAATTGATCTACTTTAGAGTAGACTGCGTGGAAATTACCATTTGTACAGAACTGATAGTGTGCGTTTTATCATTTGCGATAGCAAGTTTAGCAAATGTATTTGATTTTCGTCAGAACAATACTCGAACTTACATCCATAAGCAGGTATTTAATGTGCATCAGTAAGCTTGGTATTAGAGCTTTTAGATGGCCACTGATCGATGAACAGCTTGCACATGTAGTACCTTTTTCTGAGCTTAACCCTCTACACTGTACCTCAATAGCTTCTTGCGCTATCTAGAAGAGCTTGTAATTCTGTATCGCCTGGAAAGTGAAAAACAAATGCGATAAGCTGCAGTATCTGTGGACAGCGCGTTCGATTGCTTGTAAATTAAAAATGCCTATTACTATGATTCGAGGGACTTCCCTGAAAGCCATAATCTACAAAATGAGAGCTGATTTTGTTGCTTGGGGTGTTAGCGTATGTATCACTGGATGCGGATTTCACTATGTGGTAACCGAGAAGCAAGAAAAGTTGCAATTTGCAGTCATCTGTCCTTGGAAGCATGACTCGCCACCATATCTAGTATCCATCGATAAGTTGAAAGCAGCAACTTAATAGTGAGATCATGCTACGCCACGAGATTAACCTCGACCACGCATTTGGCTGGACCAACATTCTTAGGCTGTCATTGTTGGCTCAATCTGAGATCTGCGATCTCTTACTGGCTCGACACTAATATAATAACTTACATCTTTTAGTCGCTCAAACGTATACTATTCAGTAATAATCATTGTCCCTGGTCCGTAGTAAGTTTTTACAAGATTGAAATACGCATAAAATGGTATTACTCTCGATGAGCATGGTACAAGTTGTTTCAAATAAACTTGTTTCTCGGTTATTTTGAGGAGTTTTCAGACGAAAACATGTAATAGATCGTTACCAGCTTACCTATAATCATATTTATTGCGCAAAACCAAGAGTTACCTGTCGTTTGAAATTCTATTCAAAGCCGTAGCATCATTTCTCGTGGATCTACAGCACTCAATAGGTCAGCGCCAACCAAATTATCAAAAAGCACTGTATAAGCGTTTCCGTGCTGTTGTAATTGAAGAAAAATGTGTTTCTGCCACTATAAACTCCAATTTGGGGGGTTGAAATCTCCATTTTCGAAGAAATGTATTGTAGATGATTAAACGACGCCTTATTTTGTAGCACAAACAAAGGGGAACAAAATATAATGAATGTATTAAGTTGATTGAGTTGGGAGATTCATAGAACATAGCGTTCTTTTTTATATGAGTTTCGTTACAATTTACTCGCTCAATTATTTGATAGCCAATGCAGCGATTGAGAATCTGTTCCTATGCTTAGCAAACCCCTCAAAGTGGGCATATAACTGTTCTAATATAAAGTTTCTAGCATCAACGTGGGGTGTGAAAAAGCGATCCTACCCTTTCGCTGAAATGCACAGCACAGATTCAAACCTTTGCCAAACCACAGAGAAGCAAGATATTACCATGCGGTTTTCAATACCGAGTTTCCCAGCATTGCATCCATTGATCTATTACTCGTAATCACTTGTAATTAACAGATTATCATAGGAACATGCTACTTTCAAGGTTCTAGCATCAATATTTCAAAGTTCCATCTTGAATAGTAGCCTCAACAACCTCGAAATCGAAAAAATCACTTTTGTTAGAATGCCTTTCTTTCGCAGGTAGTATCCCAACACCAATACCGCAAATGATACTACTGTAACTGTCTAACAGATTCATTGGGCTCATACAGCCAATTTCTCTGCAAGGAGATTGTAGAATCAAATAAATCTATAGCCCTATTATGCATTTATGGCTGAGGAAATGGTATACTACTACTTCTTAAAGCATACAATGTTGCTCTATAGTTTTCAACAATTAGAAAGATTGTCTGGTGGTGGGTTGTCCAGAATAATACTGTTGCAACAGCAACGCAAACACTGTGTTGAAGTAGAATTTATTATATAATTTTCCTTGCATAAATATATTTAAAGGACATTCCTCACGTCGAACTATTACGCAATGGGTGCTAGATTAAATGTTTGAATCTTAGCATACTCTTAAATAAAGAAGGCTTCAAATCTTATCTATTTTGCTATCCTTTTATTACAAACATAAACTCATTATAGATAACAGCTCCGTAGGAGATCAACTAGCTAGAATCCTTCCGTCTCTGAACCTCTGAGCCAATCAAATTGCTTGAAAACTCCGCTGACCTAAAAAAAAATTTGCGAGGGTTTCCCCCTGTTTTGATGTGAGGCAAAATTTTAAGCGCCGCTATAATAGCATTATAGCCGCTGCTATCATCAAATTTCCCCCAGGTGCTAGAGCATGCCTTACTTACACCACCTAGCTTTAAATTCAGGCATTGAGACCCTCAATCATCACTAAAGTAAGTAGCGATAACCAAGTGGAGGCAGCCTATCTACCTCCTGGTGTCGGATAAAGTCTTGTTGAGCTTCAGGGATAGGCACATCCACACAACGTAAAAAAAAAGGTATGCTTCAAAGAAACATAATAATAACAAAAGAAAGAAGAAAAGAACATACTACTATACTCCTATAGTAGTATATAGGCAAAAAAGGAAGACTCACACAAAGTGATTCAAAGAAAAGTATAACAAACACAACATCAAAGATGTTCAAAAAAGCTCGTTGTTGTTGCAATAACAATACATACATGATGAGCAACATGCATGGTAATAGTCGAATGTAAAGCAACACAACCAACAAAAAAAGAAGAAGAAAAACGCAACAAAACAAACATCATGAATGCATTATCATGAGGAAGGAAGCAATAACACAAACGTTCAAGGAAGTTTTTTATCATTGCGACCAGAAGAAAGAAGATACTTACCACTTACCATCACCGTAGATAGACCAGAGGATACGCAATCACCGAATATAGACCAGAGAACGAGTATGCACCAAGCACAGTAGACCAGGAAAGATCATAATTGCAATACCAGTAGCAACACCAGCACCATAGACAAACCAAAGAACGAGCGACACCAGATAGAGAATGAGCATGCACCAAACACAGTAGACCAGAAACAAACATATTAGCTGTAGCTGTGGCAGCAACACCAGCACCATCATAGACAAACCGAAGTACGAACGCCACCAGGAGAGACTAGACAAAGACCCAAGAAGCAGGGAGCAGAGATGGCAGAGAAGTAATGGCAACGGCACTCACTCAAGCAAGCAAAAAATTATTAAAACCTAATAAACAAACTCAATTAGTGCTAATTCTACGCCTTCCAGTGCTCGTTATCGAATGGTACCTAATATATTCCACTTTAAAGAAGCAATATCAAGTTCTTTCAACAGTGCAAGACAGAGTTGTCGGATGCTAGAGTGTTATTATTAATCAAACGGTGTCCAAAACCACCATGGTTTGATACTAAAACGCGTTTTGCAAAAAGGGAGGAGGGCATGGAAAAATGAGAGGGGGGCACCCTATCCGACGTCACGACCAGTAAATTTAGTCTCAGTTTTGTACCGTAGTAGCCGTAATTGCGGCAACTTAATTTGAAACTGTGCAGTGGTATTTTCGTGTTCAAACTTGACTTGATCTCACATCCTTTAAACGTTTTTGCTAAATTTGACTATGAAAACTGTCGTTATCACACCCAACTTTCTAGCACATCTCTAGAGAACTAAAAAAAGCCACATCGAATGGTGTTAATTACATCCAGCTTATAGACCGAAAATAATGAGCAATTTGCAGAAATATGAAAACAGGTTTTCTGTGAATATGTCAAAATTTAGCATATGAAAGTCTCATAAAAAGAGTTTTCAATGTTGCATTTCATTTTTACAATCAATTTGATCTAATGTGTATCATAGGAAAAGCCTTCCCTTTTGACGTGAAAAACCCGACCGTTTAATTTTCAAGAATTTTCTCTTGCATATACTCATGGAAAAATGATGATTTTCATGAATTTGCAACGACCAAAAAAAAATTGAGATAAAGCATCAAGAAGTAAAGCGTGGCCAAGAGGAGACTTGTGGTGTTATTCCAAGCGCTCAAAAAGTTTTGTGGCATGAGTTATTCGTGCATGAAAATGGCTAGATTCGGACAGAATTTGGCCGAAAATAAGGTGTAGTGAGTTGCGTTGCCAGAAGAGTCAGTAAATTGCGTTTTTGTCTGATGGCCCAGATGTTCTGCATTTTACAGAACTCAATTTTCAAGTAATAGGTGCTGTTATTCCAATTCTAAGACTCAGATCTTGATTTTTGAAATGCGCGATAATAACAGTGATCTTGACACTTGAGCGTCAATAATATTATGCAAGTTTGAAGTTAGTGGCTTGCTCGAATTGATTTAGATGCTCATCAGGCTAGCAGAGTATATTTGATGGTCGTCCACGACAAAGATACCATATCTAGCAGTAAAACAAGACTTAAAGTGTATTCATGATGAATTTGTAATAATAGTCGATGATAATAATCAGTTGTTAACTGTATCTAAAACAAAAAGCAAAGAGCTTCTTTATTACAGAGCATCTAGCTTGCTTAAATATGGTAGATCCCTGGTCAATGACTACTACGTTGAGATGGTATATAAATAGCAGGCCAC